ATTGATCTAGTACAATATCTTTGTTTATTAGAATATTGAAGTCTTTAAAAGATAGGCGATCATTCAATTCACAAAGGATTTTTTTCATATGAATTTATTTGTAATATGTCCATTAAACTTTTAGTTGTCGTTTGACTCATATTCACATTAACTTTTAGTTGTGGTTTCACTCATATTTACGTTATCTAATATTCTTATTGAAATTTATAGCTCATTCTTCGTACCATAGAAGTAAAACTGAAAGTATGAAGAATTATTTTCTTACAAAATTAGAGCAGGGAGATTATGATATATTTTTCCATGTACTTTAAATATAAAAAATCTCTTTGATGCAAGGTCCCTATTAAATCTTACCCCAAACAATGTGAATGAAAAATAATATTATAACTCACTTACCTGGAGTAATTATATTGTATATAGGACATATACAGTAGTCTCGTGTATTTTCTGGTTCTAACTACAAAATACGCAAGAGTGGTAGTCTTGTGTATTTGCTGACTTTAATTACTTTTGTAATTAATGTTCTCTAATTACACGGGACTATTAGTCCCGTGTATTTTAAAGATGATTTTTATACAAAATTGACCTCTTTGTTGGCAGTCTTGATGGTGTGGCAAAATATGTCAATTTTGTTAATTATTATGTAAAATAGTCGATTTTGCTAATATTTTTAAAAAGTGATATTTTAAAAAATTATCCTAAAATAAACTGTTAATTCAAAATATGAAATTGGCGAAAAGACCTAAACATTCTGGTGATTAATTAACCCATAAATAGGAAAAATAACAATTAAAATAAAAGTATATTTAAATTGAATCTAACAAGGCACTTCACAGAATGAAGCATGAAATGAATCCAAGAAATTATTAAAAGAGAATTAAAGAAACTAATTAAAAAAATATGAGATCGAGGGATAGAGGGAGAGAAGACCTCACCGACATGAATTTTATTTCTCTTCGAGCGTGGCAGCAAAATTGGTGGAGAATGAGCGACGAAAAAAGTGAACAGAATAGGTGACAAAGTGTGTGTACTTATTATATAAATAGGATATTAAGATATTCGTCCTGAAATCTTAAATACATACATGTTAGTCCCTAACATCTTTGTAATTGCTTATTTATAATGATATTACTATTTAGTATTAAATCAATTTTATTATATAAGATTATATACCTTTTTAATAAATTATAATGTATATATATGGAAACCCCAATACTTATAGCCAGTAGTTGGGCTTCACAAAATATGTTAACTTTACATTATAGTTTGTTATTGGTAATATTATTGGCAATGCCATTACTTTTCATCTTTATCTTATTATTCACACTTTTCTGATGTAAGTCCTCTTTTGCTAGTCACTCGATTGACTCTATTTTATTTTTATAATATCAGAGGTTAGAATATTCTTTTCTATTTAAAAAGTGTAGACATGATTTTCTTAAAAATATATATATACATATAGTAGCAATAGTATATACTTCAGTTCAACTCAAACATTAGCTTGAAGCCATTTAGAATGAGGTTCTGTCTATGCTAGAATAGTGACATAGTGATTACATAATCCAAAAGTCAAAGAAGAAATTTTTACAAAGGAAAAGTAATATATTATGTCAAATTAACAACTAATTGATAAAATATACATGGACAGTGCAAAGAGCTATAGAAAGTAAGGTATATATCTTCATAAAAATTTTATAGTGAGTGACCAACTACAATCATTCTAATTTAAGCATAAATAAATTTTTTTAGTTACTACTTTGATACGTGAAACTATAAAATAAATCTCAAGCAAAAAATAGGAATTGAAATTATATTACCATGTAGGTAAATAAATAAATATAATTTAAAAGTAATAATTTAAACTATTAAGCTTCAAATATTAGTTCATGCGAGAAAGTAAAGTAATTTATGGTCTATATACATATATCGTCAATCGATTAAAATTATAATGACTACAATTAAAATTATATGGTGGGTTCATATTAAATATAATTTATAATAAATAGTATATTAAAGTCAAAAACCTATTAACCACTGTATAGATTGTTTGAAATTTTTTACATGTATAAACTATATACTACCTAGTAATAGTGATATGCACACTTAACTATAGCCTAATACATCTTAAGAACGACTTACTATTCAATATCATTATTAATTGATGTATCTATACATTACACTAAAAACACAATGAAAATTTATAAAACTACAGAAGAAATACCCTCAAAAGTTTTTAAAATTGTATAAAAACACCCAAACTTTTATAATATACAAATACACAAAGCTATTAAAAATTACATTAAAATCAAGGAACTATAAAAAAACATTGAAAATTTGTAAACTTTAGAGGGGTAATTTGCAATGTACTAAACTTTATGTTTGTTTTTTTTTGTAAATTTCAAATCTAATAGATTTTTAAGTAGTTATGTTTTTTTAAAAAAGTTATGGGTAATATTGACTATGAAAGTTTTTTCTAAATCTATACTTTTAAAGGGAGTATGATATTTTTTTATAAATTTTTTATTTTCTAAGGGTTGCTAGTAATTTTGTATATTTATTTTAGTGTCTATAGGTTAGAAATTCTCATGGTGTTTTTGGTAAATTATGAATATTAGGGGTTTTATGTATTTTTTTTAACTTATAGGTCTTTTCTATAGATTATAAATTGTTTATAAACTATTTATAATTCCTATATTTTTAATTTACTAATAAGTTTGAAATTCTCAGGGTATTTTTGTAAAATTTGGATTTTAAGTGTTTGTTTATAATTTTTGAAACTTTAAGGGTGTTTTCTATAAATTATAAATTATGTAGGGGATATTTGTAACTCATATATTTCTAATGTACTGTTAGGTTGGAAATTATCGGGATTTTTATAAATTTTACAATCTTGAGGGTTTTATCTTGCAATTTATAAAAAGTTTAGAGTGTTTATCGTAAATTCTATAAAAAGTTGGGAGTTGTTTGTGTTATTTGTAGGTTTTTAGTGTGTTTATAGGTTTGAAATTTTTAATGTATTTTTTACAAATTTTGAGTTTTAGGAGTGTTTTTGTATTTTTCAAAACTTACAATATACTTTCTCTAATGTCAAAAACTTTCATTTTTAGCTAGCATATATTTTTCATATTTCTCACTGAATTGAAATAAGTAAAATTTATAATTTTAAAATAAAATTTTAAATTTGTAGGAGGTGTTTTTTTGAAATTTTAAAACTTAGAGGGTATTTTTTACAAGGTCCAAAAACTTTTAGGTGTTAGCTAGCATATATTTTTTAGATTTTTCTGCAAACTAAAATAAGTTAAAGATTTGAATTATATCAAACATATCACATTTACCCAGTAACATGTTAAGTCTCATTATGGATAGGATAAATCATTTAATTATAAATTCAAAGAATATAAAAAAAATTAGAATAAAATAGGATAACAATACAATAGTTTTAAAAAGTTAAGGGTAATATTGACCATGGAAAGATTTTCCCCAACTCATACTTTTAAAGGGAGTATGATATGATATGATTATTGTGATGTTACAAAGGTTGGACAAAAAGATCAACTAATTCTATCCTTTCATTGTTCCAACTACTAATTTCCTTAAAATATTATATTTAAGAGTTTAACAAATTTATAATATTTATTTAGTCCGAGTCAAGCTTGTCATTGAAATCACAAACTTCTACTTCGCTAACTAGGCACATTGCATCTGACAACATGTTTGGCAAACTCTTCAAAACTAGACTAGAATTGATCAATGTCCAATTTTAGAGTAAACTAGTTGCTTTTGTTATTCAAGATAAAAAACAAAAATAAATAAATAAAATCTGGACTGCTCTTCTTTCCTAAGAAAACTAGACTAAAATTAAATCCAATTTTTTATCAGTTAAGGGTAAGTTTAGCGACCCAATAAAAATAAGGCCCAACTTGTATTATTTCTTAACCAGGCTAGAGTTGCACTAGTGTAGGGGGTGGTTCAACTCTGACCTAGTTTTGAGGCCTAAAAACAAACTTTAGAAAAGTAAGCTAGAGTTGCCTCAGCTGTTGCTAAATACAAAACAAGTAAAAATCTGGCCTAATTTTAGAGGGTTGTCAAACAGCTCCTAAAAGTAAATTTAAAACTAGATCTTGTTCGGTCTTGTACCAGTTTAGGAACTTGTCAAAACACATTTCTATATGTGGCTTTAAAAACCTACTCTTCTATACTTAAAAGGAGAACCAAAGAATTACTGTTCATGCTATAATAAATGCTACAGTAAATACTGCAGCATGAAAAGTAAATCAAACCTGGTGCTCTGCACTCGAAGTTACTGTTTATGCTACGGTAAATCCAATATGCTCTTCCATGCTTAAAGTTACTATTTATGATATAGTAATTTACCGTATCATAAACGGTAAAGCAAATCAAACGTATTAAAATTTGGATTCTCCTTTAAGTATAGAGGAGTAGATATGATTTCTAAATCAAGCAAATTAAACATTGAGTCTTATTTAAGTATAGTGGAGTAGATATAATTTCTAATTTTAAACATACAATAATCAAATCAAATATATCAAAATTTAAAGAGAGACAAATTCAAAATACAGTGCTTAAAAAATATAGGATCGTGCTTTGCATAGGGTGCACGCTAGATAGTAAGAAAAGGAAAAGAAATCATAAAAAACCATACTACGATCTTGTGATGAACTAATAACGCAGGCACATTAGATTGTGGTCCAAGCTTAATGCTTCCGGACACGGATAACAACGGCCCCCCAACTGTGAATACCGCCATCATCTTTTAAGTCCCTCCCTCCGATCGCATTTCTCCTCCTCTTTTCGAGCAAAACCCCTTAAACATCCGCATCTTTAGCCCTTCATCCCCTCCTTTTTACACTTAACCCCCCCTTCTCCGTGCGTCCATAACTTCCCACCCCATCCTTCTCCTCCTCCTCAATTTCTGATGGCTTGCCGCCGCCTCCTGATTCGATGCGCGCGAA